GGTTTTAAAAAGGGGAGTTGTGCCCCCCCCCCCCCCCTCCTATGTGATAGAAATAAAGTAAGAAAAAGTTTTAAAAAATAAAGTTAAATCAAATAAATGAAAAAACACCCAAAACATTTAGAAAGACCCCTGTCCTCGCAAACACGTGCATACTAACGCAAACACCTGTCAGGTGCACCTACGTACCAAAACAATTGCGCCACACGTGTTAGGTATCACCAGGTGCGACAGGCTGAAGCAACAATTCTAAGGTCCAGTATTCATAATTAACTCTAAACCGACACACCTGTACAGGCTTTTAAAGTGTCACAGATGGACAATTTAGGGTACCATGTTTTTTAGCCGTTTCACAGGCGCATGCAATTTTTAGGTTTGGCTTTTTGGGTATCCATTTACTCTGCACAACCTCATCTTTTATATTTAACAAAAAACAAAAGGGGAATTATATTGTGTTTTGTGCATAAAAATTAACTTAATTGTATTTTTACTGAAATTTTGGGCTTGATAAAGCTTCACTAATATTATGTTACATAAAATTTTTCAACTGCCACCATTTTATCCTACAGGGTCTCTGCTTTCAGGAAATATATAATTCGGGAAGGGGGGGTATTTTTCAAGGCTACACTGTGGATAATGTGTGCAAAAAACGCTCTGGAAGTGTTAAAGGTTAACCAATAATTTTTGGTATATAAATTCTTAATGGTCCTCATAACTGGGGGTGGAAGGTGTCCCTCTTTCTCATCTCAAAACTTGGGAGGTAAGTAGAATAAAAACCTGAGTAAGTTGAACTCTACTCCACTTTATAAAAAAAAACAGGCTGGAATGATATAAACTATATACCAGCAGAGGGAGCAAAAAGCCCATTGTATATTCTTCAAAATGAAAGGCTGCTGCAATATTCAACTTGTCCACCAGATGGCAGACAATGTAAAGATTTCTTCCTCTGACATCCTAAATAATGAAACAATTTGATATTGTTAAGCAGAAAAGGTAATAAAGTATTTACAGACTTTTGCAGGCTCTCCTAAATGAAAGGAAAAAATACTTATCTAGGACACCAGCAAGTGTTGTACCTAAGCAAGCAATCCACTTGTTTATGCCACCTAAATATAAACATAAAACCACCTGTATATCGAGACAAAACTGAAAGAATCCTGTTGCAAAGTTTTTCTACATTATAGTAAAACACAAGGCTTGCCATATCTCAGCCTTGCAAACCCTGGAGCCAGCATAGTGCATAAAAGGTGAATCATTTCTTCCCTGAACGTGGGCATTTCAGACTCAGAAGGCTGTTATAGTAAATAGAGCTAGAGACCCCCATGTGCATGGACACATCTAAAAAATTAGGGATGCACCGATACTTTTCAGATACCAGTGCCGATACTTGGCATTTTCATGAGAACTACCAGAGTTGCAGCAGTTGCAGCTGGGACCGGGCTCCGGGGCTCTACCACTGTCCTGAAATCATTAGTCTGTATTGTTTTAGAAAAACTGTCACATGACACTAAACTAAAATGTATCAGTACCTGTACTTGTAAAAATGGTATTGGTACATCGCTTTATATGTTTTTATAAAAACAAAATCATACATTTAAACAAAGATGTGCAAATCCCAGGAGCTCCGTGTGCTCCTTACATATGACAGCTGCCTCCTAACTTTTGAATTTTCCTCTAGTCTAGTCTTGGAGCTGGAAAAGTATCTGTACTACGGTACATGGTATCGGTGCATCCCTATAAAAAACACAGCATTTTATTTCCCAGCCATGTGCATGAGGCCTAATACTGAAAGACCAGACTGTATAATAAGAACATTTGTAAATGTTATCATTGTCCTGGTTTGGTTATGCCTGTAGCCTTTAAAGAATACTGTACATCATATGAAAAGCACTTGAACATTGCCCTGTGGGTCTGTCTACACCTATTTACAGATCACTATGGAATTTATTTGAAATTGACATTTACTGGTTGTCTCTATGGTCCGCATGACAAGAACATTTTTTTTTAAAGTCAGGAGTTTGTAGAAAAGATGCTTCAAAAACCAGCAGCACCGGACAAAATCAGGATTAAATTGTTTTTTATAAACTTTAATTTTATTCTGTCTTATAACATTAAATCTGCCTGAAAGGTAGAATTTATTATAACTATTTAAATATCACCAACAAATTCTGCAACACTTTACATGTAGCTGTTCACATGCCCTGCTGCCATGGAGTTTAGGATCTAAAGTCACTACCAAAGTCACAAAGGACCCTACAAGTTTTAGAACTCTTTTACGTAGAGCAGCCATTCTCACCCAGTGGTTGCATGAAACCCGAGGGCTCCACCAGAGATTGCTATGGGTTTCTTGATCTGTGGCTGATTGACTTCCCATCTCCCTGTTTTCTGCATCCAATGTCACATAGAGTCAGCAATGATGAAACCAATGATCTTTTCAGCTGTCTGCAAGGGTGACATTTTGACCACCACTGTAAGAGAAGCTTTCTTCCGACTTACCACCAATTTAAAGGACGCCTTCTTCCTACTGATCATCACTGTAAGGGGAACCTTCTTCCTACTGACCACCATTGTAAGGGGAGCATTCTTCCTACTGACCACCACTGTAAGGGGAGCCTTCTTCCTACTGACCACCACTGTAAGGGGAGCCTTCTTCCTACTGAGCAGCACTGTAAGGGGAGCCTTCTTCTTACTGACCACCATTGTAAGGGGAGCCTTCTTCCTATTGACCACCATTGTAAGGGGAGACTTCTTCCTACTGACCACCACTGCAAGGAGAGCCTTCTTCCTACTGAGCACCACTGTAAGGGGAGCCTTCTTCTTACTGACCACCATTGTAAGGGGAGCCTTCTTCCTACTGACCACCATTGTAAGGGGAGCATTCTTCCTACTGACCACCATTGTAAAAGGAGCATTCTTCCTACTGACCACCACTGCAAAGGGAGCCTTCTTCCTACTGACCACCACTGCAAGGGGTGCCTTCTTCATACTGTAAGGAGAGCATTCTTCTTACTGAACACCACTGTAAGGGGAACATTCTTCTTACTGAACACCACTGTAAGGGAACATTCTTCCTACTGAACAACACTGTAAGAGAATCCTTCTTCCTACTGACCACCTCTGTAAGGGGAGCCTTCTTCCTAATGACCACCACTGCAAGGGGAGCCTTCTTTCTACTGAACACCACTGTAAGGGGAGCATTCATCCTACTGACCACCACTGTAAGGGGAGCCTCTTTCTTACTGACCACCACTGTAAGGGGAGCATTCATCCTACTGACCATCACTGTAAGGGGAGCATTCATCCTACTGACCACCACTGTAAGGGGAGCATTCTTCCTACTAAACACCACTTAAGGGGAGCCTTCTTCCAACTGACCACCTCTGTAAGGGTTGCATTCTTCCTACTGACCATCAATGTAAGTGAAACATACTTCCTACTGAACACCACTGTAAGTGGAGCCTTCTTCCTACTGACCACCACTGTAAGGGGAGCCTTCTTCCTACTGACCACCTCTGTAAGGGGAGCATTCTTCCTACTGATCACCACTGTAAGAGTTGCATTCTCCCTACTGACCACCACTGCAAGGGGAGCCTTCTTTCAACTGAACACCACTGTAAGGGGAGCATTCTTCCTACTGACCACCTCTGTAAGGGGAACATTCTCTCTACTGACCACCACTGCAGGGGTTGCAGTCTTTACACTGACCACCAATTACAAAGAAAAACATTTTTGCCATTGGCAGTTGACTATTGGAGTCATTTTAGGGGTGTGCATACTGTGCTTGCATTTTTATTTGATGTTTTTGATATGTTTTATAACAGAAAGTAAGGGAAATAGATTATTTTTAAAAATGTTGGTCCTTTTTCCTTTATGTAGTAAAAAAAAAAGTGGTTATTAAATAGCACCAAACGAAAGCTCTATCTGTCTCAAAATATGATATCAATTTCACTTGGGTACATTGCTGCATGACCGAGTAATTGTTAGCCAAACTGTCACAGCACCAAAAACTGAAAAGTGGCCAGGAAAGGAAGTGGGTGTAACATTCTGTTCCTAAAGTGGTTACATAGGTATCCTTATCCTGGTATGTTAGCTTTGTGAATTGAGCTTATCACATCAAGCCACAACAACATGACACTGTAGCACATTGTACAACACCATCCTAGCAAATGACATCAAGCTACAACAACAGTTATAATATAGAGCAAGAGCATATCATGCCACAACTGCAATTATACCCGCCAGTACGAGCATAAAGAAGAACTCTGGGTAAAAATGTTATTAACCCTTGCAGTGGGGCTACCCCCGCACTGCAAGAGTTAAAGGAGAATTATGGGGTAAGTGTTTTTTCCCATTGTTCTCCTAAGGGTCACAGGAGGACACAAACTAGCATTCTCCCGTGACCCAAAGCTCAGTATACCGCGAGCTACAGCTCGCCGTATATTGAGACCACCGCAGCCGGGACGGAGCCTGACATTACTGTTGAGATCCACCCAGCTGTGTGATTGACAGTTG